GATGTCTGATCACTCCCCATCTTTGAGTACCCGTACTGTCATCAAGATGTCTGATCACTCCCCATCTTTGAGTACCCGTACTATCGTCAAGTTGTCTGATTTCTCCCCAACTGTGAGTACCCGTACTGTCATCAAGAGGTCTGATCACTCCCCATCTGTGAGTACCTGTACTGTCATCAAGACGTCTGATCACTCCCCATCTGTGAGTACCCGTACTGTCAACAAGATGTCTGATCACTCCCCATCTGTGAGTACCCGTACTGTCATCAAGATGTCTAATCACTCCCCATCTGTGAGTACCCGTACTATCATCAAGTTGTCTGATTTCTCCCCATCTGTTAGTACCCGTACTATCATCAAGATGTCTGATCACTCCCCATCTGTGAGTACCCGTTCTGCCATCAAGATGTCTGATCACTCCCCATCTGTGAGTACCCGTACTGTCATCAAGATGTCTGATCACTCCCCATCTGTGAGTACCCGTTCTGTCATCAAGATGTCTGATCACTCCCCATCTGTGAGTACCTGTACTGTCATCAAGATGTCTGATCACTCCCCATCTGTGAGTACCCGTACTATCATCAAGATGTCTGATCACTCCCCATCTTTGAGTACCCGTACTTTCATCAACTTGTCTGATTTCCCCCCATCTGTGAGTACCCGTACTGTCATCAAGATGTCTGATCACTCCCCATATGTGAGTACCCGTACTGTCATCAAGATGTCTGATCACTCCCCATCTGTGAGTACCCGTACTGTCATCAAGATGTCTGATCGATCCCCATCTGTGAGTACCCGTACTGTCATCAAGATGTCTAATCACTCCCCATCTGTGAGTACCCGTACTGTGATTAATATGTCTGATCACTCCCCATCTGTGAGTACCCGTACTGTCATCAAGATGTCTGATCGCTCCCCATCTGTGAGAACCTGTACTGTCATCAAGATGTCTGATCACTCCCCATATGTGAGTACCTGTACTATCATCAAGTTGTCTGATTTCTCCTCAACTGTGAGTACCTGTACTGTCATCTAGATGTCTGATCACTCCCAATCTGTGAGAGCCTGTACTGTCATCAAGATGTTTGATCACTCCCCATCTGTGAGAACCCGTACTATCATCTAGATGTCTGATCACTCCCAATCTGTGAGTACCTGTACTGTCATCAAGATGTCTGATCACTCCCCATCTGTGAGAACCCGTACTATCATCAAGATGTCTGATCACTCCCCATCTGTGAGTACCCGTTCTGTCATCAAGATGTCTGATCACTCCCATCTGTGAGTACCCGTTCTGTCATCAAGATGTCTGATCACTCCCCATCTGTGAATACCTGTACTGTCATCAAGATGTCTGATCACTCCCCATCTGTGAGTACCCGTACTATCATCATGAGGTCTGATCACTCCCCATCTGTGAGTACCTATACTATCATCAAGTTGTCTGATTTCTCCTCAACTATGAGTACCTGTACTGTCATCAAGATGTCTGATCACTCCCCATCTGTGAGTACCTGTACTGTCATCAAGACGTCTGATCACTCCCCATCTGTGAGTACCCGTACTGACATCAAGATGTCTAATCACTCCCCATCTGTGAGTACCTGTACTGTCATCAAGATGTCTGATCACTCCCCATCTGTGAGTACCCGTACTGTCATCAAGATGTCTGATCACTCCCCATCTGTGAGTACCCTTACTGTCATCAAGATGTCTGATCACTCCCCATCTGTGAGTACCCGTACTGTCATCAAGATGTCTAATCACTCCCCATCTGTGAGTACCTGTACTGTCATCAATATGTCTCATCACTCCCCATCTCCGAGTACCCGTACTTTCATGAAGATCTCTGATCACTCCCCATCTGTGAGTACCCGTACTCTCATCAAGATGTCTGATCACTCCCCATCTGTGAGTACCCGTTCTGTCATCAAGATGTCTGATTACTCCCCATCTGTGAGTACCCGTACTGTCATCAAGATGTCTGATCACTCCCCATCTGTGAGTACCCGTTCTGTCATCAAGATGTCTGATCACTCCCCATCTGTGAGTACCTGTTCTGTCATCAAGATGTCTGATCACTCCCCATCTGTGAGTACCCGTACTATCATCAAGTGTCTGATCACTCCCCATCTGTGAGTACCCGTACTGTCATCAAGATGTCTGATCACTCCCTATCTGTGAAGGTCCGGGTTAGAATATTGATCTTCAGTAACCCATGCTTGTGGTAAGAGGCGACTAACGGGATCGGGTGGTCATGCTCGCTGACTTAGTTGACACATGTCATCGGTTCCTAATTGCGCTGATCGATGCTCATGCTGTTGATCTCTGGATTGTCTTGTCCAGACTCGATTATTTACAGACCGCCGCCATATAGCTGGAATATTGCTGAGTGGGGCGTAAACCTACACACTTTCACTCATTCACTCAATCACTCACTCACTCCCTATCTGTGAGTACGCGTACTGGCACCATGCTCATTCCCATGTGTTAGTCCATGTACAGTCTGCCGTCAACCCCTTTCAAGCATACACAGATCAGACAGGTGCACCGTGTGTGGGAAACCGTTCAGGTTGGGGAGCAGTGGCAAGGAGACACATATGTTTTTACGACTGGGAAACACATACGGGCTGACACCTCATCGGCGTGCCTCACCTAGTATCAGTTAACGTCCAAACCATGCAAGTCAAAACAGGTTTGTTTGGAAGAAATAACTGATGTTCGTTCAAACTGCCCTTTTGCAGTCCGTGGACCGCGAGACTGTGTATACTGTACATCGTCTCTGATTCAGTAGAGAAGTCCATGCATACATCCACACAGTCTTTACCATCACACAAATGGGAATGTTTTTTTGTTTGTTTGTTTGTATCGCTGTTGCTGTCAATGCGAAGGCAAGAAATGACTTTAAGTGATGCCGGATTAGGACGGTCCTCGAGTCTAGTGTACAAGTAGAACCTATTCCACTGTAAAGTAGCCGACATCAACATCTTCACCGCGGTTTGAAACCGATGCAAAGCTGAAACAAATTCTTACGTTATGTACATCAAGCCGATGTTGTCAAGGTGTGTCTGCTGTCACGCATACCTACCTGTAGAGTTAATGAACACATAGTTGTATTTGTTGCACAAGTCTCAGAGCTGAGGTGTTTAACGTTCACGGTAACAACACTTATATAACAAAGTGCGTGTGCGTGTGTGTGCGTATGTGTGCGTGTGCGTGTGTGCGCGCGCGCGCGTGTGTGTGTGTGTGTGTGTGTGTGTGTGTGTGTGTGCGCGTGTGTGCGTACGTGTGTGCGTGCGAGTGAGAGTGCTTCAGCTAGTGATGCCAGTTGTTTAGCGTCAGTTCCCTGAGATACTATACTACTCACAAAAATTCACAACTTTACTTAAACGTAGGTTTATAATTTGAAGTTGTATCTATTTAAAAATGGATAAATAATAATATGGTAACACCTCTTTAGGCAAATAGTCTCTTTAATCTAACCTTATGCACTTGATTGATGAGTAACCATAAAAATAGTTTTCATGGCACTAATCAACCATTTTGCATATCATGGATAGAGTCATTGGCAAGTACACAACACCTGTCAATAGCAGGTATGGGATCCAAAGGATGGAATGACATACTGAAGCCTAGGATCCATGCTTAAAGAAAGCTAAGATGTTTAAACCAAATTTGACCACACATCATAGTTTTCTGTTGAACCCTTGTTTTGATCCTTAGCAAAGTGTGAATAGTATATAACGCCTGCTTAACATGTATACCCCATTGAGACGCCCAGGCTGTGTACTGGCTTCTTCTGGGCGACCAGACCTTGTTTTATCCCCATATTGCTGAGACGCTCAGGATGTGTACTGGCTTCTTCTGGGCGACCAGACCTTGTTTTATCCCCATATTGCTGAGACGCTCAGGCTGTGTACTGGCTTCTTCTGGGCGACCAGAGCTTGTTTTATCCCCATATTGCTGAGACGCTCAGGCTGTGTACTGGCTTCTTCTGGGCGACCAGACCTTGTTTTATCCCCATAATGCTGAGACGCTCAGGCAGTGAACTGGCTTCTTCTGGGCGACCAGAGCTTGTTTTATCCCCATATTGCTGAGACGCTCAGGCTGTGTACTGGCTTCTTCTGGGCGACCAGTCATTGTTTTATCCCCATATTGCTGAGACGCTCAGGCTGTGTACTGGCTTCTTCTGGGCGACCAGTCCTTGTTTTATCCCCATATTGCTGAGACGCTCAGGCTGTGTACTGGCTTCTTCTGGGCGACCAGTCCTTGTTTTATCCCCATATTGCTGAGACGCTCAGGCTGTGTACTGGCTTCTTCTGGGCGACCAGTCATTGTTTTATCCCCATATTGCTGAGACGCTCAGGCTGTGTACTGGCTTCTTCTGGGCGACCAGTCATTGTTTTATCCCCATATTGCTGAGACGCTCAGGCTGTGTACTGGCTTCTTCTGGGCGACCAGTCCTTGTTTTATCCCCATGTTGCTGAGTCGCTCAGGCTGTGTACTGGCTTCTTCTGGGCGACCAGTCCTTGTTTTATCCCCATATTGCTGAGACGCTCAGGCTGTGTACTGGCTTCTTCTGGGCGACCAGACCTTGTTTTATCCCCATATTGCTGAGTCGCTCAGGCTGTGTACTGGCTTCTTCTGGGCGACCAGACCTTGTTTTATCCCCATATTGCTGAGACGCTCAGGCTGTGTACTGGCTTCTTCTGGGCGACCAGTCATTGTTTTATCCCCATATTGCTGAGTCGCTCAGGCTGTGTACTGGCTTCTTCTGGGCGACCAGTCATTGTTTTATCCCCATATTGCTGAGACGCTCAGGCTGTGTACTGGCTTCTTCTGGGCGACCAGTCCTTGTTTTATCCCCATATTGCTGAGACGCTCAGGCTGTGTACTGGCTTCTTCTGGGCGACCAGACCTTGTTTTATCCTCATGTTGCTGAGAGCTCGTGTACTGGCTTCTTCTGGGCGACCAGTCCTTGTTTTATCCTGCTGCGCTCAGGCAGTGAACTGGCTTCTTCTGGGCGACCAGTCCTTGTTTTATCCCCATATTGCTGAGACGCTCAGGCAGTGTACTGGCTTCTTCTGGGCGACCAGTCCTTGTTTTATCCCCATATTGCTGAGACGCTCAGGCAGTGAACTGGCTTCTTCTGGGCGACCAGAGCTTGTTTTGTTCTACTCGGAGGGCCCACTTCAATCCATTCGGCCAGGGAGGCGGTCGAAAGTTCCACAAAAAAGAAAAAGCAACTTTCAGTGTTAAATTATCTGTGCAGACATAACCAAGAGTTCATAAAGCAAAAATCTCTGACACTGCAACATATACATCTTTTGTGTACGTGTGTCCGGGGAGAAGGGATATGAGTGTGGGACTCGCGCCTTTGTATATATAATGAAAACATTGGCTGTGGCTTCAGCCATGAAACGTATCTCCATTTCTTTAGAATCAGACAGAATGCGTATGGTATTTTTTTGGTATTGTTCTGGTACTGTTTAGTTGTGTTCAAAGAATAGCCCACTTCCCAGTACACACCCCATCTCCTATGGGGCGAGTGCCTCTGTCTGGGGAGAGTGCGGGACATAGCCCAGAACTCCATGGATCAGTGTGTCAAGGGCTGGTTTCCAAGGACACTCTTGCCACAATTTGGACATTGTTGGTTTTCACTGATCATCTGTGTCTAGTTTTGCGTGACATTTGTGTTGTATGGTGCTGCCGCAGGAACGTGTGGCAGTGGAGAAGGTCGACTTGTCAGTTCGGAGTGGTCACAGACAGCATACGTTAAAGCAAACACAAAACACCTTGATAGCGGAGGACTGTGTTTCTCACGCTGCGGTGTGTACATAATTAGACGCTGGTAGACACTGGATGTGTTACCATCAGCCAACTGATTGAAGGCTTACAAAGGCTTGTATTGGCGCCAACTGCACATGTTTGCCGTTAGGGAAGTTTACTCACTTTCCACGATCAGCAACAAGTCCCGTGCCAACACAGACAGCACAGCCCTGCATCGACCTATTATCATTTGTGATTTATAAGCTGTAGATACAAAGGTATTATCTTGTGTGTATAAGACCATTCAGTAGAAATCTGCGACACTAAGGTATAATCTGTCCAGGCCATATGGTATAATGTCATCTGTCTCACAGGGGCTTGTAACGCAATCATTCCTAGTTTCACTGGGCCTGAGAAAAACGTATGCTCACCTGAGAACAATGGGATGACAATGAGTGGTTTCACCGACCTATTACAGACGCATCAGACACTGTCGACATCGGTGTAGTAAAACTGGGCATTGGTAGATGCGTTGTTGTTTACTTGGTAACCGCTGGTAGCAGTACAAAGGTGTTAATGTCTGCTTCCCCTTAGTTCGTGTCACTCGCAGTCTCGCTAGGGATTATTTCCACACTTCAACATGGACTTTCATGCCGGCCAAATTCTGAAGGGGTGGCCATAGGTGGCGACATGCAGAAAGACAAACCGTAGTGACTCGCACGCCAGATTACAGCCGTATATTCCTTTATCCAAGAACAGTAACCATCTGGAACAGGTTGGTCGTGTATTTGTCATTCGCTCCACTCATCAGAGAGGAATGTATTTTTGGGTGAATACAATGGTTTCTCTATGCTGTGGTGTACATGCGGAAAGAAACCAGCAATGCAATTGGGTATTTCCTACACCTTCTGCAACCACTGAAAAGAAACCAAGTCCGTTCGCCGTCCTCTCTCAACTTTTGCTACCATTTGCATTTGGTTCCTGGCACCATCTTTTCCCCATCCACCGCCCCACTCCTCACTCCCATAGTAGGTTAAATTTCGTCGGGGCAGGACAGAAAGGATCATGTACCATGTACAACACACGCTGGGTATCGACAGACTGATAGCATGCATCTATGGGTAACGTATATTTTGGCACTGCAATCAAATACGGCGTCCTGAGTTATGTCATGTAAACTGACGTACAAAAGAAAGTACCCACCTGGTGCTTTTTGGATACATTTTCCGAACATCACTTAGAAAGTGTTTTAAGTCTTTTGTTTGAGACATACAAGCCTCAAACATTGTGTACACGTCAAAACACCACGGACATCGTATCTAAATGCAGCGTTTCCAGCGACGATTCAACGTAGACGATTCAGTCGATGTTGACAGGTTCACGACGCGCGATGAAATGGTCGACAGGCTCGGACGCCGACAGCACGCAGTCGTCTCATCACCCTGTCCATGCTGATGCGGTGACACAGTGCTGTTGACGCTGTTGACGTCGACGTGACTGACAGATTCCGGTTACGCAGATGGAGAATGCGCAGGTCATGTTACTGGGTGGTCACTCTCGGTCCTCCAGCTCTGGGATTGTCAGATGTCTGGCCAGCCTGATGAACGCGTCTCATTAGTCTGATAATAGCCGGCCTTGTACAGCCCAACGTTCTGGTAATGGCTCGTTCGCTGCTGAAAAAATGGACATAACAATTTCAGTAGACTATGTTGTATACTGTTTCCGCATAAAATGAACGTGTAATGCACCAAAAGCATCATTTTTCATTTGAAAATAATCCCCAAACATCAGGTGTGTAGTTTCTTTTGTTCGCCAGTTTACATAAGATGTACTGAAGCTGTTGATGAGATGTATATTTGCCTGTTGAACAACGTGCCTCTGGTGGAAACAATTGTAAATTACATTATAAAACGAATATTAACACTAGATACATGTCCTGCTACTTATGTTGAAGAGTTTAACATACATAATGCTTAGCTTGCTTAAACGAGATCTATAAAAAACAGAAGTAACTGATTCAGTTAATCAACTCGTTAAGTGCCCGTAACGTGGTGAAACTTCCAGCAGCTGGAACTGAAGCTGGGAATCTACTGACAGTCAACACCACAAACTTGGCGCGTTTCCGTTCATATGACTGTGTGCATATTTTATGACTGCTTCCAATTATATTTGCCGAGTTCTGTTAGTTTCACTCGGAAACAATTATTTTCAGGTGAACATAATCATAAACCAGGTTTGTATGTAACGCAGTCTGTCCCTGTCTATTACCTACATCCTTAATTAAAGGTAAGTGTAGCAGGTTGATACATACACACCTGTATGTCACGTATTATGTCACTGTCTGTTACCTACGTCCTTAAGCAAGTGCAGCAGGTTGATACAGACACACCTTTCCTTTACAGCTGCTTGTTCTAACCGAGGCCAAGGATGTTTGGAGCCCCCTGCAGTCGACAGTGTGGAGGTGGGCTCAGCAAGAGTGGGTGTGAGGTGGGGAGCGTCTGCAACACGTCCGTAAAATACAGGGTCTGTAATCGACAGGTGAGTTGGCGGCGGGTCAGTGAACTATGGGGACTGTGGATATTCGTATCCCCGACATAAAGAACGACCACCCACAATGTTTCCATTCATATATTTTAGAAGTGTCTGAAGGACGGGTCCACCCGTAGAGAGGAACAATGCCGTAGCTACAACAAGATTCCATTCCACGGCTCCCTGCATTCATGGATTCCGGTTGGCAAACCACAATCACCCTGCGCCCTTATCTGTAGGAGTAACGGCAGTAAAGACAAGGTCACTGTCAAGTTCAAGGACACCGTTGGCGACGGGACAAGTTGTGGCAACAACAGCATCTGCATAGCTGGTAAATGTCTGGTAAGTGTATCATGAAGTCATCTCTGCTGGATCAGCCTTTATATAAATAGGAGATACACACCATATGTGTTCACACTTGCCCGGTTTGTTGAGGTTTCTGTGCCCGGAAAATTCATTTGAAAACGACTTCGTATATATTTGTGTTTTACTATTTCGATAAACAATATGTTTTCGAATTTGTGGGGTTTTTTTATTAAGTATTTGATTTCCGGATATATTTACATCAAATACGGACATTGAAAACTGAAACAAAATACAAGTCTGAAGAGATTCTTATCCCCCAAACAGTGCTCTGATTGATTGTATTGACCTACAGGATGTTGGCTGTGACGACATAGCTGGGTCGGGGGCCGTGGCAGATGTCTGCGGTGTGTGTGACGGTGACGGGACAAGCTGCAAGCAGGGTTCACAAGGAAACAAGCCCAGCTACCAGTGGGAGGTGAACTGGGTGCCTTGCTCTGTGACGTGTGGTGTAGGTAAACTGTCATCTGTCATACTGATCACGGCTATTAGATATAACAATGATATTTGGAGCAACATGCAAATATTTGTGTCAAATGTATAGTATCATTCTTTCATAGAGTCATCGTATATTTCATTTTAATTTAGAACATAACGTTATGTGGGAAAACGCCTACACGCTCAGTTTAAATGATTACTCAACTCTAATTTAGTTGATATAAATATGATCGCAGACAACATCTTCATACAAACAGAGCCTTTCTTTCCTCTGACCAGAATGCAGTTGGTCTAAATGTTGTAGCCTGATGCTGCATGTTGTGTTCCTCCATCACACCAGCCGGATACACTACCTGTGTTTGTCTAGACAGGACACCAGAAGATGGTATCCAAGTGTAAGGACACCCACACTTACGAGGTAGTGGCCGACAGTCTGTGTCGGAAGTCACTCCGCCCCAAGGACGTGTCAGTCAAGTGTACCCTGAGGGCCTGCTCCAGCGCCAAGAAGCAGGTTCTCTGGCTGACGGGAATCTGGTCTCCGGTGAGAACTTCTTCACATCATAACAATGAAAACTGGGTCTGTGTATAGGGGAGTTCGTTTAAACCAACATGTTCAAGCTAGTCTGTCTGTTGAAGTGCCAGCGACATATAAGGTGGGGTACATGATGTGTGGGGTAGGGTACAACTATCTAGCTGTTGTTGGCACTATCTATTGTACTGATGTGTGGGGTGGGGGTACAACTATCTAGCTGTTGTTGGAACTATCTATTGTACTGATGTGTGGGGTGGGGGTACAACTATCTAGCTGTTGTTGGAACTATCTATTGTACTGATGTGTGGGGTGGGGTACAACTATCTAGCTGTTGTTGGCACTATCTATTGTACTGATGTGTGGGGTGGGGTACAACTATCTAGCTGTTGTTGGAACTATCTATTGTACTGATGTGTGGGGTGGGGTACAACTATCTAGCTGTTGTTGGCACTATCTATTGTACTGATGTGTGGGTTGGGGTACAACTATCTAGCTGTTGTTGGCACTATCTATTGTACTGATGTGTGGGGTAGGGTACAACTATCGAGCTGTTGTTGGCACTATCTATTGTACTGATGTGTGGGGTGGTATCGTGTTATAGTTTGCACTGTCTACAGTTGTATCTGATGTGTACACTGTCTCTGTTACTGATGTGTGGGGTAGGGTACAACTATCTAGCTGTTGTTGGCACTATCTATTGTACTGATGTGTGGGGTGGTATCGTGTTATAGTTTACACTGTCTCTGTTACAGTGATGTGTGGGTCGGTATCGTGTTATGGTTTACACTGTCTCTGTTACAGTGACGTGCGGGGTGGGGTACAACTATCGGGTTATGGTTTACCCTGTCTCTGTTGCAGTTCCCTGTGACGTGCGGGGTGGGGTACAACTATCGTGTTATAGGTTTACACTGTCTCTGTTGCAGTGCCCTGTGACGTGCGGGGTAGGGTACAACTATCGTGTTATAGGTTTACACTGTTTCTGTTGCAGTTCCCTGTGACGTGCGGGGTGGGTTACAACTATCGTGTTATAGGTTTACACTGTCTCTGTTGCAGTGCCCTGTGACGTACGTGGTGGGGTACAACTATCGTGTTATAGGTTTACACTGTCTCTGTTGCAGTGCCCTGTGACGTGCGGGGTGGGGTACAACTATCTAGCTGTTGTTGGCACTATCTATTGTAGTGATGTGTGGGGTGGTATCGTGTTATAGTTTACACTGTCTCTGTTACAGTGATGTGTGGGGTGGTATCGTGTTATGGTTTACACTGTCTCTGTTACAGTGACGTGCGGGGTGGAGTACAACTATCGTGTTATGGTTTACACTGTCTCTGTTGCAGTTCCCTGTGACGTGCGGGGTGGGGTACAACTATCGTGTTATAGGTTTACACTGTCTCTGTTACAGTGACGTGCGGGGAGGGGTACAACTATGGTGTTATAGGCTTACACTGTCTCTGTTGCAGTGCCCTGTACGTGCGGGGTTACAACTATCTGTTATAGCTTGTTGCAGTGCCCTGTGACGTGCGGGGTGGGGTACAACTATCGTGTTATAGCTTACACTGTCTCTGCTTGCAGTGCCCTATGACGTGCGGGTCGGGGTACAACTATCGTGTTATGGTTTTACACTGTCCCTGTGCAGTGCCCTGTGACGGCGGGGTGGGGTACAACTATCGTGTTATAGGTTTACACTGTCTCTGTTGCAGTGCCCTGTGACGTGCGGGGTGGGGTACAACTATCGTGTTATAGCTTACACTGTCTCTGTTGCAGTTCCCTGTGACGTGCGGGGTGGGGTACAACTATCGGGTTATGGTTTACACTGTCTCTGTTACAGTGCCCTGTGACATGCGGGGTGGGATACAACTATCGGGTTATGGTTTACACTGTCTCTGTTGCAGTGCCCTGTGACATGCGGGGTGGGGTACAACTATCGGGTTATGGTTTACACTGTCTCTGTTGCAGTGCCCTGTGACGTGCGGGTCGGGGTACAACTATCGTGTTATAGTTTACACTGTCTCTGTTGCAGTGCCCTGTGACGTGCGGGATGGGGTACAACTATCGTGTTATAGGTTTACACTGTCTCTGTTGCAGTGCCCTGTGACGTGCTGGGTGGGGTACAACTATCGTGTTATAGTTTACACTGTCTCTGTTACAGTGATGTGTGGGGTGGTATCGTGTTATGGTTTACACTGTCTCTGTTGCAATGATGTGTGGGGTGGGGTACAACTATCGTGTTATAGTTTACACTGTCTCTGTTACAGTGATGTGTGGTACAACTATCGTGTTATGGTTTACACTGTCTCTGTTGCAGTGCCCTGTGACATGCGGGGTGGGATACAACTATCGTGTTATTGTTTACACTGTCTCTGTTGCAGTGATGTGTGGGGTGGGGTACAACTATCGTATTATAGTTTACACTGTCTCTGTTGCAGTGCCCTGTGACGTGCGGGGTGGGGTACAAGTACCGTAACGTCATCTGTAAGCACCAAGGGAGGGGCAGATGCTCCTCATGGAACAAGCCCCCCACCAGAGTCATGTGTAACACTGGTGTGTCCTGCAACCCAATCAAAGGTAAGTCATGTCTGCATATGACCGACACACGATTTGTTTCAGCACAGTGCAGTGATGCATATAAACAAATTTGGAATTTCAATTCGCCTTTTCATGTTGTGAAGCATGGTTTAAAACTGCAGTCTTTTTTCGCGTGACCCTTTCTTGTTCGACTTGCCTTGATTCTATAAACCGTGGCCCATGGGATAACGTCTATGTATTCATTGCTACATAACACTCTGTCTCCTGAAGAACATTGTAACATTAAACCTCTATATGGTGCTATGAAGAACTGTCATAATCTGCATTTGCATATTCACAATCTAATGTACAACTCTTTCAGCAGGGAAATTACTAATCTACTGACAAATCAACAACTATATTTAACACTGTATAAATATAGCCTTCTAAATGCCTGACAATGCCCTCGTGTGGAGGATAACACGACGTCCATCTGATCTAACGCCTATTCATGTGGATGGTATTTTGTGGATGTTTTGTATTTAAGGCGGCCAAGACAGTTACCAAAGCGACGGTGAGAGTAGCTGACTGCATGAACACTTGATATATACATATATATAGGCTTTGCATGACTGGATTTTACCATGCACCCAAACTGTAATCGTCTCCTATAGTATGGTATGTCGAGAGAAGCATTCCTCGCTCCTAAATGACGTAGTCTCCTGCTTTAGTGCAGTGGCTTAGGGTGAAAATAGATACTTGGCGGCCTAAAGCATGAAACTTTGCATAGTGCTAGGGAACATCGTGATAAATCATATTTTTGGGGTGTGCTCGAATGTTTGGGCCTATTTTCCCCAAAATCCAATATGGCCGCCAAAAATCAAAGAGTGTTGAAGTCCACCCAGAATGGTCGCCGACTATAAAAAAAATATTCATTTGTTACAATATGTGAGATAAATTCGCCGTTCAAAGGGCTATTCTAATACTTTCAAGAAATATAACAAACAGGATTTATGTGTAGTAGTAAAATATATAATTCATCATCCAACTTATGAAAAGGTTACTGTTTTGATCAGTCACGTGACATCAATTTGTCAAACATCGATCTCTGTGATTCTGAAGTCTCCTTTAACAGTTCCCATTGAAGTTACAGAGCGATGTGCACAGAAGTTGAGAAGATTTACAAAAGCACTTCTTTGAGCATAGAGGTTGAGACTTGCAGCCACATTTGATAATGTTGTTGATAATGGTGCCAGCGAAAAACATATTTCAATGGACACTATTTCAAGCTCTTCCAAACCTACACTTCCAGGCAGTTGTATGGTTCCTGCAGTAGCCTGCAATGTGGAGAGAGTTAATGTGCCTATAACTCATCATCAAGTCGAAGACAAGATCACCAAAGCTAAGAAGAATCTTGGATCAAGCACTGCATTGGCCTTCTCGCTGAAGAACATTTGGAAAAGGATGAGTTGCCTGGTGCATTTCATGCTTCTCGTCAGTCCCAGGAACATGTTGAAGCAGGAATAAGTTCTCTTCTTCATCTTCTTTAAGGACAAAGCCGCAAGTCTTGCCATGGTTAGGCATGGTATGTCTATTATGAAGACAGTCACAGAACATTGCAACATAGGACAACTCCCAGTCATGGCTACAGCCCAACCACATTTTGCGCTAGCAAAATATGTTCAATGGAGATGGCCTAGTGTGTTTGGTGAAAATGTGTACACTATCATGCTTGGAGGTCTTCACATTGAAATAGCCTTATGGAAAATGGCTGGAGACTTGTTGGAAAATTATGGATGGACTTCAGCACCAACAGAAGCGGGTATTGCCCAAGTGGAACAGCTGAATCTTTCATTTCAGAGTCTCATGTTACAAAGACATACTCATCAAATAGCTGCCGTATCAAATAGCAAGTCTTCAAACCGATGCTTACATGTTCTCACTGGAACCGCATGTTCAACAATCATTTGAAGACTGGCTGGAAAAATTGGATGTCAGAAAACATTCCAACATTCAAATACTGGGATTTGATTCTTCATCTCGAGACAATGATACCGATCTGTGTGAGGTCCCATCGCGAAAGAAACATGTCTCTGTACATACAGGTAATGGAACAACTTGTCCCTTGGTTCTTTGATCTTGATCACACCAACTATATACACGCAGGCTGTCAGTTCACATCAGAGATATGAAAGCCTTTCCTGTTGACAGAAGAGAGTCCATTCAGAGAGGTTTGGTTTTCCCCAAACCATCAAACACATTTGCTGCCATGCTTTTGGATCAAGCTCATGAGCCAAACAGCAAAGTTGTAAAACATTCAGGTGGTGCAGTTGCATTAACAGAAAATGTTGCCTTAACTAGATGGATGATATTTGGACCAGAACAAGCAAGAATTCTGCAAGAGTTTGAGAAGCAAGATGACAAGGTGTATACTAGAAGCAATGAACAAGATTGTGCTACACAGCAGACATTTAAGATTCAAGTCAACAACTTTTGTGGCACAGTTGCTTCGATGGGAAATCCCTTCCTGGAAGAGTCTCCTGAACTGATGACCCTTGATGATCATCAATGTGTTGGTGAAGCTGTCATAGCATCTATGAAATCAATGGAGAAGACAGGAAAAGACAAATATGAGAAGTTTGTAAAGGACAGAGTCAATTCACAACCCCATTAAGAAAAATCACCTTTTTTCAAGCCACCACAAACAAACACTCAGTCTAAATCAAACAGCAAACGAATGACCTGAAAAATGGCTACAGTCTCTTCAGTCAGATGTTCATTGATTGTCAGGTACGTCAACCTAATTTAAACCAATTCTTTTCTCATGAAAACCACCCGTGGCCACCATCCATATCAGTTCATGGAAAACTTCATTTACCAAACTACAAATCAGAGCTCTTAGATTGTCTTGCATCACCTGGGTATGACTCTGCTCGAGACAACACGAGAAAAGCGAAGAAAGGCAGTAGAAGAAAAGGTCCCCGTCATACTAGACTACCAATGATCTTTGCTGCTTTTCTAAAAGAATCAAAAGACAAAGAAGAACTATTTGCATTCATAACAGATGATGTGGCTAGCAGCTCTTACAAATCATGAAAGGTTGTGTTCATAACAGCTGTGCAGTCAGTGGTTACAGTAGGAAGTGAAGCGGATATGCAGTGCGCTGATCAGGAAGATGCGGATATCAGAATCTGCCTTCATGTCAAAGATGCTTTGCAAAAAGGTGCTACAAACATCATTGTTTAGCACTGTCGACACAAATGTTGTTGTCCAAACTGGTTGAACTAAAGTCTGCTGTTCAGCTGTGGGTGTCATTAGGAAACGGGAAAAACGTCAGATGTTATCACATAAACAGAATATTCCAAAATCTTGGCTGTCGAAGATGAGTGGTGCTTCCCTTTTTCCACGCATTCACTGGTTCTGACACAACATCACAGTTCAGTGGAAAAGGCAAAAAGGCAACTGCTTTGAAGACTTGGATATTTCCTTTTCCTGCACAGCATCCATTCCAACCTGTGTACAAAGACTCAAAAGTGTTTTCATAAGTTGAGCGATTCACATGCATCTTGTCTGACAAAACTACATCAGTGAACACAGCCAACGAACTGCGACAAGAGATGTTCTGCCAAAGCCGCAAGATCAAGTCTGATGCAGAACCTTCCTCCCACTCAGGATGCTCTGCTACAGCACACAAACAGGAGCTTGTACCAGGCCAGCATATGGCTTACTTGTTTACTTCTCAGACAGAAAGCATCAGAGCCAGATTTATTTGGTTGGACAAAGGACAACAACCCATGGCTACCGGTGTGGATGACACTGCCAGAAGCTTCACGAAGTTGGTGAAAATTTGGCTACAAGTCTCAACCTCTATGTTCAAAGAAGTGTATTTGTAAATCTTCTCAACTTCTATGCACATCGCTATGTAACTTCAATGGGAACTGTTAAAGGAGACTTCAGAATCACAGAGATCGATGTTTGACAAATTGTTGTCACGTGACTGATCAAAACAGTAACTTTTTCATTAATTGGATGATGAATTATATATTTTACTACTAAAGATAAATCCTGTTTGTTATATGTCTTGAAAGTATTCAAAATAGCCCTTTGAACGGCGAATATATCTCACATATTGCAACAAATGAATATTTTTTTATAGTCGGCGACCATTCTGGGTGGACTTCAGCTCTCTTTGATTTTTGGCGGCCATATTGGTTTTTTTTGGTAAATAGGCCCAAACATTCAGGCACATCCCCAAAATATGCTTCATCGCGATGTTCCCTAGCACTGTACAAGGTTTTCTGCTTTAATCCAGCGGGGTCAAGTCACAATAGTGTTAGAATTGGAAATCCTTGCTTTTAGGGGGCCATCTTGGACGCCAAATTGGATTTATTTTAAAATGGGCCCAAAATTCGGGCACACCCAAACAATATGTTTTATCATTATGTTCCCAAGCACTGTGCAAGGTTTTCTGCTATAAAACCAGCGGGGAAAGTTATATAGTGTTAAAATTGGAAATCCTTGATCTTTGGCGGCCATGTTGGACGCCATCTTGAATTTTTCGGAAAGTGGGCCCCCAAAATCGGGCACCCCCCGAAAATATGTTTTATCATTATATTCCCCAGCACTATGCAAAGTTTCATGCTTTAGTCCGGCATGTAACGATCAACCTCAAAATCGGACCTAAGCCACTGCACTACTTGCAGCAATTAGAAGATAGAGCTACTCTGTTTTCAATTTTGCGGTCCTTTATCGTCGATTTAAGACCGCTAAATGTAATGTAAAAACCGAACACGTTAGCGTGAGGTTTTTAATTATACATTTAGCGGTCTTAAATCAACGACAAAGGACCGCAAACTTGAAACAGAGTAGCTTTATCTTCATTCTAGCACGACTGATAAGCGTTTTAAAACCGAACTGTTTGGCGCGCAAGAACACAAGGCGCAAAGGGGCCTTTTCCCTGGAAATCGCTTGGAATCGTCCCGTTGAGGGACAGGTTGTGTAATGAACAAAATAAGACATTTTCAACAACATAAATGCTATATTTCAGGAACCAGTATGCTTGTATTTGTAACAAGTAGCATACATAAATATAAAAAAATACAGTTTATACTGTGAGCATGTACAATTATTTGATTTTTCTCAAGCGAATTATTGATCTCCCCTACTTTATGACAATGGACTCGCCCAAATGCAAGCCGTAAACTCGATAAGTTTAGTCGCCGCTAACTTCATTCACGGGAATAATTGTTGATAACCACCCTACTATTCCCAATTTGGAAAAGACCTGACATGCCACGTTTTATGTGGCATACATGGACAGTGGAAGTGGAAGGACTGGGCATTATGGCCGGGACGGAAGCGATCAGGTTAGGACGTGTGGGCCGACGTGTGTTGTCGACGTTAACACACGTAGATCTCGACCCGCTTTGAATATACTGCCGCTTTTGCGCTGCTGGCGGATTTTCCAGCTTCGTAGTTTCTTCACTGGGATTAGGGTCAAGAAATTCTTCTTCAAACCATTCGCTTTTTACTTCAAAAAACACCAAAGATGCTGCCGAGATAGAAATTGCCGAT